GGGAGATGATATATAATGAGATGAAAAAAAATGTTGAAATATACATTTATGAAGAAACCAGAAGCATTTTTACTGGGCATTGTTGGGAGTGATATAAATAGAAAGGAATGTACCGTATTTTTTGCACCATAACACTCACTTTTTTCCTCCTAGAAAGTAAGGGGAAATGTCTGTGCATGTTATGGAGCGAATGCCTACGGATGGCGGGGGGATCTGCTGCAGTCGTGGGCAGAGGATCCATGGTTCCCGTTCCCCTTCCTTCCCTCCTCCGTGGCTCGCTTTGAAACAGCAAAGCGGGAGAAGAGCCGCTGAGTGGGGAGGAGAGAGGGACAGAGAGCCTGCTTGCTTTAAAGGAGCAAAGCGGGAGAGGAGAGGAGCCGCGTACACGAGTGTAAGCGGCTCCTGTCCGGTTGGCTCCTTTAAAGCAAGCAGGCTCTCTGTCCCACTCTCCTCCCCACTCAGCTGGCTAAATAGCAGCAAAGTTTTTCAGTGAGCCAGGGAGGAGGGAGAGAAGCAGAGCCTGCTTGCTTCTCCTCTTCTACCCCTCTTCTGCATTATTAACAGCATCCTTCTCCACCCACCCCACGCGTGTTCCTTGTCCCTTGAGTGCTTTTCCTTCCCTCCCCACTTAAAAAGTGGTTACAAAGCACGGATCCACATGGATCCTCAGGATTTTTGCATTGGGCTATCTCAAACTCACCGTCAGATCACATGTCTGTGGCCACAGCATGAACCACAAAAATCATACATCCACTGTTTCGTTTAGAATATTTTTTTCCTTGTTTTCCTCCTCTAAAAACTATGTGCGTGTTATGGTCGGGTGCGTGTTATAGAGCGAAAAATACGGTAAGCTCTTTTTATATGCAATAACAGCAGCAAGAATATTATTGGCCCAAAAATGGAAGCAAGAAGAATTACCGCCGATTGAAGAATGGAGGATGAAGTTAATGGACTATGCAGAACTAGATAAACTAACAGGAAGGATTTGAAACCGCAGGACCAGAAATTCACGGAAGACTGGAGTAAATTTACGGACTATTTGAAAAGTATTTGTGAAGATCAGACGACGTTTGTAGGTTTGCAAGAAGTTTTGTGAAGAGTATTATTGGAAATATTGCAAAAATGGAGAAGGGGAAGGATGATTTCTTAAGAGATGTAAAGGCAATATAAAGTTAAGAAATGCATAAGAAGTGGTTAAAACGGTGAATCATCAGAGGTGCTGATAGAAGTCTAAAAAGATTGTATAAGTGATAAGTTTTGTGGTACATTTTATAATTTATATGTTAAAATCAATAAAAATTATTTTTTAAAAAAATAATCTTGAAGGCAGGACAGACAAGAGTCAGCCTTGTCTTTGTATAGAGTCAGAGTAATGGGCTCATCCATAGTTTGAAAATCAGGAGAGGGAGAGAGAGAGAGAGATAGGGATACAGTTCTATCTAGCATGCGCACATGTGCTTGTAAGTATGTGCAGATATAAGTGCCTGGCCTGTGAAACAAGAGATGCTTGAAAGCAGATGGCCCTGGGTAGAAAACCATGCTCAGGTTTATGTTTGAGAACAGGCTAACAGATGTGCCACATTATCCCAGCCTTTTAAGAAGATGTATGCTTTTGGTGCCATTCTGGTTTTCTGAAGGCTAATGAACTATCTTTCGGAGGAACCATATGTCCATGGACACCCTGGCCAAAATCGCAACGATTATGATCGTACTCCTCTCTACCCCGTTAACTCGAGAGACCTTAATTGCGTTGTCGTGACATTTACCGCGCAATCCCAAAGAGAGAGAGGCGCTTGTGTATTGAACTGTGATCAAGTGGGGAACAGTCTTCCCAAACATGAAGGGAATCTGATATAGTTGTGCCATCCGACAGCAGGTTTCTTCATAGAAGTCGTGGCATTTATTTACTTATTTTTCACCACTCCGAACGTGCGGATAGAAGCCCTTGGGCTCCATCTCGTGCCCTATTGTGCCTGTTGTTTAAATGTTCATGTAATGCTGAGATGTTGCAGTTGGGCTCGCTAACTACTTGGCTGAAACTGTCAACCATAGAATCATAGAATTATAGAGCTGGAAGGGATCTTGAGGGTCCCTTCAATGCCAGAATCTCAACTAGATCACACATGAGAGATGCTTAAAAACCTTCAAGGAAGGAGAGTCTACCACCTCTTGTGAGAGTCCACTCCACTGTCACTTGAACTCAGGACACAAGGGAGAAACTTGCTAGGAGGAAGGAACGCTTGGCAAATCCACACCGTGTTCAACGCCCTCCCAGAAACCAATGTCCCCACTGTGGAAGGACGTGTGGATCCAGAATTGGCCTCCACAGTCACTTACGGACACATTGTTAAAACCGTGTTTATGGAAGACAATCTTACTTGGCTACGAGTGATCGCCAAAGAAGAAGAAGACGACTGTCAGAAATGTCTTCTTGATGTTGAGTTGGGACCAACTCAAGCCATCCTCCATGTGTCAGCCCTTCAGATTTTGGAGGTGGCAAACCTATCTCCTCTCAGTCTCCCCTTTCCCAGGCTAAATATCTGCAAATCCTTCAACCGTTCCTCCTATGAGGTTTTTAAGCCCTCTGCTTACTGGCCTCTAGGAAGGTCATGGGAGGGATCTGGAAGGCCTTGAGAGGCGCCTGAGATCTTTGCCTTCTCCCTGCATCAGCTTTGGACAGGTAGGAATGGCCCCAGGGGGGCAGTTAGAGAGGTCTTTCTGACGTTCTGCAATTTTGCCTTTCTGTGTGGATCTGTGGAACGCAACTCCTGCGTAAGTTTCAGGTCTACTGTAGTACACCGCCATCATGATTAATGGTCATTGATAGTCTTATGTCCCATGAGTAGTTCATGGGTTTCTTGGATATGGAAATACTAAGGATTGCCGTTGGGACTTTCTTCCTCCAGAGTAGATACTTCAACCCCAAAGACACCTCAGGCAGAAGAGTTTTTGATGGGATCCGGTCCCGCATTTGGTTGCCTGTCAACTATTGAGTGATCAGGCGTCGTACATGCATGTCTGAGCCATCCCTGAGGCTTGCAAATGAATGGGAAGGGCCATGACTTTGTGAAACAGAGGAACACAAATCCCAACCTTTCCCTTTAAGAAACAACTCTCTTTCAAAGCACCAAGCAATAAAACTATGCAGAAGGCTCTGGGTGTATAGACATCAGAATTCAATACTGATTATTTATTTTGCATAACTAATAAGGAAACATAACAAAAGTTGCTGATGTTAACATGCAGTGGGAGAAAAAATGGGCTTTAATGGCCCCCATAAACTCTGCTATTGATGGCAGCTTTATAAAACTCCACATTGACTACAGCTAAAGGCTATACGTTCTATCAATACGGTCAGCAATTAATATTGACCGATAAAATGCATCCGGTAAGCTCACTCATTCCTTGAGTCGCTTTGAGCTTACTTTCAGCACAATTTTCACATCTGAGGAAATATTTTCCCTGTAAAATCCTCAAAGTCATTTTGCGAGCAGCTCTTGGGATCCACAGTATCCCAAGTACGTATTCTTAGTTGTGAGGAAGCTTCTGTTTCCATTTTGTTTCCCTGATCCCTTCCCCTCTGGCCCACCTGTAGATCAGCATCGCTGAGTTGCTTCTTGGTTCAGACTCGCCTGCCATATTGGAGGAAAGAGAGGGGTGTTTATGAGTGCAGACATTAGCTTTGTGTGCAAAGGAAACCTATTCATTCATCTGCTTCTTTCACTCTTGCATCAGATCCCATCCACCACTAGCATCTTCGAATGAAGGGTATATAATAATAATAATAATAATAATAATAATAATAATAATAATAATTTTATTTGTTATATGCAGCTCATCTGACTGGGTTGCCTCAGCCACTCTGGGCAGCTCCCAACAAAATATTAAAAACGCATTAGGCGAACTAATGTCAGTGTACTGGTAGAAGCAAAGATCACTAGTGTCAAAGCGATGCTTCTTCAACATCAACTTCGTTGGACTGGTCATGTTGTGAGGATGCCTGATTATCGTCTTCCAAAGCAACTACTCTATTCTGAACTTAAAAATGGAAAGCGTGATGCTGATGGTCAACAAAAGAGGTTCAAAGACTCTCTCAAGGCAAATTTTTAAAAAAAGTAGTATAAACACCAACAATTGGGAAACACTGGCCTGTGAGCGCTCCAATTGGAGAACAGCCTTTACCAAAGGTGCCATGGGCTTTGAAGATGCTCAAACTCAGGACGCAAGGGAGAAATGTGCTATGAGGAAGGCATGCTTGGCAAACCCTCATCATGATCAACTCCCTCCTAGAAACTTATGTACCCACTGTGGAAGGTGTGTTGATCCAGAATTGGCCTCCACAGTCACTTACAGACTCATTTTAAAAACCATGTTCATGGAAAACAATCTTACTCAGCTACGAGTGATCGCCAAAGATTAAAAACACAATAAGACATCAACCAGTACTTACTTTCCTGAATAATAATCATACTTGTGGCCCCAGAAGACCACCGAGAAGGGAATGCGACCTCTGGCTGAAAAGGGTCTCCCACCCCTGTTCCACAGATAGTAGTTTGTTTGCTTGTTTGAAACACCCCCCTCGCCCACCCTCACATGACATCTTGTTATGACGGAACAGAACCTTAATAGGCCTCACTGAAATTAAAACAGAAAACGAGGGGGCAGCGCATGAGGAATCAGTGTTGCAAGTCTTCGTATACAAAAAGCAACCCCCCCCAAAAGCACTAATTTTACTTAAAATCACCATATGCTACCCAATCCGACTGTGGAAAGCAGCAGCAGGGAGAGAACCGCTTCACTTATTCCATGCGAGCGCTCAGAACAAAATCCCATTCCCCTCCGTGGCCAACATGCCTGCTCTATATTAAGAAACTGGCAATGGAGCAGTTCAATTAAAGGTGTAAAAAGGAGCACGAACATCACTTGCAACGGCTGCTGCTTCGGGATGTGCTCTGCTTCCCATCTGCCCACCCTTCCTTCCCGCTTTAAACACGCCGTGGTCAAGCCGCAATTGCGTACTGTGGCACACTCTCCCTCACAGAACTGTTGACCTCGAAATGTGCATTCCATCGCCAACCCCGCAACTGGGAGACATCTCCGCGGCCGGGGAGACAAAACCGAGGAGGTGAAAGAAGAAGGGGAAACACCCTGTGACCTTCAAGTTTTCGTAAAAGACAAGTTTCTAAAAATACGCCTTTTCTTTTCCTTCCTCACAGAGAGAGAAGCCGGGGTTATTTACATAAGTGGCGGGAGTCAGCCGAGATGGGCTTGGAAATGATCTGCTAGGATATCAGTTTGAGAGATAAGGAAAGCGGGGAGGAAAGAGAGAGGAGAAAACGCTTGATAGGGTGAAATTTCAAATGCAGGAGTTTGGGTGGCGTTTTTCCGTTTTTTTGGGGGGCGGCTGAACGGGCCCTGCGAAGAGCTCAGGGGCTGCTGAACTAGCGCCGCTTTTCCACGACGAGCAAAACGGGAACCTTTTTCGTAGCACAACGCCGCCGACAAGAGGCCATGCCAGTGAAGTACAAAAAGAATACTATTCTGCCCCCCATTTCGCATCCGCCATTCCTCATAACCAAATCAAACATCCCAGAGCTGCTGGAGAACCTTTTGTCCCCACCCAGACGTGGATAGACTACAACTCCCATCGTGCCTGGCCAGGGTCAGCCCAAGGCATTTTGCCACATGAGGCAAAACAGAAAATGGTGCTCCCCACCTTCTGCTCCTAAGGGGTCCTGCTTCATCCTCCTCTGCTGCTACCTGAAGAGGAACAGGTGGCTTCATCCTTCCCAGGCAGTGATCATGGGTGACAGTGGGGTGTGGTCAGTGGACTAGGGGGGCTGGGCTAGTCCCCTAAATGTTCCCCTGGCACCTCCTTTCCAAAGCCCAGGAAGCTTCTGCCCAGCTTAAGGAAGTGTTAGAATATTCCATTCCACCTTAAGAGGGACAGGCATGACTGTTATGTGTCACATGCCTGTTTACATTCCAGCACAGCTTGCTGGGAACTTCCGTTTGTGTATAGCTTTTGCTTATGCTGCTTGCTTGGACCCGAAAGGGAGAAGACATGTTTTTTCCTTTGCTAAATAAACTGCCTGTAGATATGCTTCACGCAGCCTCTCCCTGCCACTTCTGTTGTGCGTTTACTCTGCTGAGTTGCGTGCCCAGCTTCTGAAGCTCTGGGTCACAGATTCATGCTGCACCAAGGACTGGAGTTCGACCCGCATGTCGGTTGGTGGGCTGGAGCCAGCTGGGGGCCTGCCAATAGCCCTCAATTCCTTAGCAGCATCCCAACAGGAAGAAGGTGCTATGCTCACCTATGCAATGTCACACACACAACATTGAACCCCGCCCCCCGGTCACACTTGTAAGCTGGCACCTCTGGCCCTAACTGTTCCTCTATGAAAAATTATACCACACACCACTGATGGGCGATAAGCTCAGAAGGTAGTAAACAGTGTGCTCCCCAGAGGAGAACGCCCCTCCCAGCTGTCCCCAGCCTGAAACCTGAAGCAACTGCCCCACAGAGTCTAATGGCTGAGCTGGCCCATTCTACGGGCTGGGGCTGATGGAGGCAGGCTAACAACATCCAGAGGACAAGTCTAGAAGACAAAAACCAAGACTGGGACACAAAACAACAGGATGGAAGACAAACAGATGGACAGAAGATTAAGTAGCAGAACAGAAGCTCCAGTATCTCCCTGGCGGTCTCTCTTACCAGTTTCGGTGTTATCATGTTCTGTATCGGTGAGAGTGAGGTTGGAGTTGGCTCGACTGGACAAGCAGGAGCTGCGGCCCGACTTGGGGTTGCGCCCCCACAGCCTCACGGGGTGCTCCGGAGACATGACTGCGTCGGCTTCCGTGTCGGCGTCCGAGCCGGCGCTGATGGAGTAGCCACAGTGGGGCAGCCCTATATCTGTCCGGTACAGAGTCCCGTGCGGCGGAGGTGATACGTCTTCGAGGCCCAGCTCTCGCAAGGAAAAGTTGGCTCCTGGGGCAGAAATGGGGGAGAGGGTTGGGAAAAAAGAAGAGAGCAGAACATTGTGGGATGTCCGTCTAACAAGGGATAATGAAGACGTTTACCAGCAGATGTTATGTTACATTGTGTGGACCTTCCATTGGAGATGTATCAGCGTTAGGGAACCTGTGGCCCACCATATGTTGCCAGAATCCAGACCTCATCAGTCCCTGCCAACATGGCCGACAGCCAGGGATTATGGGAGTTTTAGCCCAGCAACATGCTGGTTCTCCAACCCAGGGTGAGAGCTGAACAAGAATTTGAACATTGCATCTCTGGTCCAAGCACAACGCTCTTGCCTACTCCAATTCAATTGATATGCTGGCTTAAAAATAAGTGTGCAGTGTGAGTCATATGGTTGTGCTCTCCAATTCCACCCACACAATTGTGTGTGTGGATTTGAACTTGAGTTGGTGGGGAGAAGCAGCACACTCTGGTCTGTCCTTCAGCCTCCGAAAGGTTGGAACAGACCTTGCTCACGTACAAACGTCTGTCTGCATTATCATGAAACCTGCATTTTGCTAGGTTCTCAGCTGTGCATAGTCGCATGTGAGCAGGCTGCGTACAGTTGCACATGGGCTGACTCTCTTTCAAGATCCTGATGTGGAATTTTGGGGGGCCAGTCAGCCAGGGAAAACCCACCCTGTGGGAACATCATTCCAAGTCCAGTGTGTAACACACTTTCTGCATCACACAAAACGAGTCCATTTGGAACCCCAAGGTCATCCGCTCAGACACCTGCCCTTGACATTTTCCACTCCAATAAGGTCACAGCAGAATCCGTTCAGCAGCAGAACAGATGTGATTGTTTAGCTGGCTAAAAATATTACCTGGGAAGAAAGGGCTCTTGAATTTGCCTCTAGTTACCTGCAGAGCCACATAATCGTTTCAAGGCAGAATAAATAAACATTTGAATATCAGTCCTGCCTCTTCAAAAGGAAGAGGAAAGTTCAGGAAAGTTGTCTTCACCAATTAGTTTTTCTGTTATAAGCCCCATTTATTTATCAAATTCATATCACTCCCCCCTCTGCCGCCTTCATTTATTTTTGTCAAACAGAATTGCAAGGGTGCAAGAGAGTACCCAGAAATCTTATATTCTAATCTTCTGTTCCAGCTCATTAATCCCAAATACTGTCAGAACGATCCTATCATTTAGGTTGGGGATTATTGCCATTGCTCTTAGTAATAGCATTATTTTATAACCCGCCCTTGACTCTTAGGTTCCAGGTGGGTCACAACAATTAAAAAATAAATTTATTTTCTCTAACAAGAAATTTCTGACACCCTTTCCCCCCGAGCATGTGGGTACCCCGTTTCTGTGTCTCAGTGGCTCCATTTGGACTACCATCCTATCGGCCACTTGAGATAGCTCCAGCTATCTAGGCGCAGAACAGCTAAGAGCAGGGGTACGCAACCTAAGGTCCGTGGGCCGGATCCGGCCCAATCGCCTTCTCAATCCGGCCCATGGACAGTCTGGGAATCAGTGTGTTTTTACATGAGTAGAATGTGTCCTTTTATTTAAAATGCATCTCTGGGTTATTTGTGGGGCTTGCCTGGTGTTTTTACATGAGTAGAATGTGTGCTTTTATTTAAAACGCATCTCTAGGTTATTTTTGGGGCATAAGAATTCGTTCATATTTCCCCCCCAAAAAAATACTCCGGCCCACCACATGGTCTGAGGGATGGTGGACCGGTCCATGGCTGAAAAAGGTGGCTAAGAGGATTGAGGGGAAGCTCTTCCATAGAGAGAGTCTGCGTAAGCTGAGTTTAAGGTCAAGCTAGGTTCAGGACCTTGGACAGGGACTGCAGAACTAGTTCAGGACCGCGGACAACAGCCCTGCAGCGGAGGCAGGAGATTTCAGTTGTCTCAGCAAGGTGTTGAGTGCAGCTTTGTAGCTGGAGGAATAGACTGTGGCTCCATTTTTGCTACTATCCTATTGGCCACTTGAGGTTGCTCTGGCTAACTAGCTCTTGTCCTGATGCCACTGCAATTCTTCTTTACTCAGGCCTATGGCTATTGAATAATTTATGGCCTGTAAAAGTGTGGGGGTGAAGACTCTTTACTATGATGATTATTTTACTATTGGGCTGTCAGTACGCTTTTTACTATGTTTATACTATGTTTTTATCATTGATGTTCTATAATGTGTTTTTGATGTTGTACATCGCCTTGGGATCTTTTGATAAAGGGTGGTATATAAATTCATTATTATTATTATTATTATTATTATTATTATTATTATTATTATTTCTTCTCCCCATGAACCAATGAAATGGAGGGGAGGGAGGGAGAGAGGATGCACAGCAATGATTTGCACTGAGCTGCATGCTATGGAGAGGGAAGAGAAAATGCAAGGCAGAAACGCTCTTCGGCTGGTAGCTCCGTGTTTCCAAGCTCAGGCCGTCCACCTTTAAACCGACGGCTCCCTTCAACTCCTGCGTTTGAAAAATAGCTATGATTTTTACACTCTTTTGTGGTGTGTTATTATGTAGGTCACACCTGTGGAAGAGCTGAAGAGCTGCCTCGCCACAAGCCTGCTCCCAGCAGGGAAGGACTTTTGCAATAACACAGGTGGCACCGGGTGCTCCACTCAGCACAAGCAACCTGGCGATTCTGTGTGTGTGTGTCTCTCTCGGTGTTGTTTTTGTTCCTTACAGGGAAGCATTTGCTTAGCTAAGAAGAAGAAGAAGAGGAGGAGGAGGAGGAGTTTGGATTTGATATCCCGCTTTATCACTACCCTAAGGAGTCTCAAAGCGGTTAACATTATCCTTTCCCTTCCTCCCCCACCACAAACACTCTGTGAGGTGAGTGGGGCTGAGAGACTTCGGAGAAGTGTGACTGGCCCAAGGTCACCCAGCAGCTGCATGTGGAGGAGCGAGGAATCGAACCCGGTTCATCAGATTACGAGTCTACCACTCTTAACCACTACACCACAAGAACAGCCTGCAGGACCAGGCCAATGGCCCGTTCCAGCCCAGCATCCTGCTCTCACAGCGCCTGTGGGAAATCTCCGAACAGGTTCCGACCACAAGAGCAACTCTCCTCTCTCCTGTGGTTTCCAGCAACCGGTGTTCAGAAGCATTGCTGCCTGCAATTGTGGAGGCAGAACATAGCCACCCCCCATGGCTAGTAGCCATCGATAGCCCTCTTCCCCCATGAATTTGTCCAATCTTCTTTTAAAGTCATCTCGGTTCATGACCATCACTGTCTCCTGTGGGAGCGGGTTCCACAGTTTAACTGTGCATTGCATGAAGAAGGCCTTCCTTTTCCCTGCCCTGAATCCACTGGATGTCTGCAAGTTCTAGTATTATGGAAAACGGAGAAGAAGAAGAAGAAGAAGAAGAGGAGGAGGAGGAGGAGGAGGAGGAGGAGGAGGAGTTTGGATTTGATCTCCCGCTTTATCACTACCCAAAGGAGTCTCAAAGCGGCTAACAATCTCCTTTTCCCTTCCTCCACCACAACAAACACTCTGTGAGGTGAGTGGGGCTGAGAGACTTCAGAGAAGTGTGACTGGCCCAAGGTCACCCAGCAGCTGCATGTGGAGGAGCGGAGACGCGAACCTGGTTCCCCAGATTACGAGTCCACCGCTCTTAACCACTACACCACACTGGCTCTCCTGAACACACTGAACATTCTGCATAATTGTTACATACATGATTGAGAAGGTGGAGAATTGGAAGCCCTTCCTATTTCTGAACTTTTAGCCTTTTTTATATATCTTACTTTCTTTTTCTGATTTCCTTTCCTGTTTCTTTCTTCTCGTTCTGCTTATGTTTTGTTCTATAATTTGAAGTTCCCTATCTCGTATCAAGGAAGATACACAAGGGGAGGTGGCAGATGGAAGGAAGGAAGGTGAAGGGCCCTTTGTGAGGGGCAGGTAAAGAGGGTCTCCCAGGGTGAGAGGCAGGGGGAAGAGGGGGAAGCTCCCAGATGAGAGCTGGGATGGATTAATACTGTATTGGCCTGGATATAAGCCGCACCCGGATATAAGCTGCACCTTTAAAATTGAAGAGGAAAGAAGAAAAAATAAGAAAAAATACCTGAATATAAGCCGCTCCCTTCCTCACTGTTCCTGGCTGCATACCGTGTGTGTGTGTGTGTGTGTGTGTGTGTGTGTGTAGCCACACTTCGTTGCCTGCGGTCTTTCCCCTCCCTCGCTCTCTCCCTTCCCAGGCTTGGGGGAGAGAACAGGGGATTACACACAGGGCAGGTACCACTTTGACGCACTCCTGGCGCTGTTTGCCCCGCACTCCTGGCTGCATACCATAAGGTCGCGAATATAAGCCACACTTTTAACCTTTCACAGTTGGAATTTGGGGGGAAAGCCAATACAGTACAGAGGACGCTCGGGTTGCGAACGTGATCTGTGCGGGATGCATGTCCGCAACCCACAGCGGCGCATCTGCGCACGCATGGGTTGTGATTTGGCACATCTGCGCATGCACAAAGCACAATTTAGCGCTTCTGCGCATGTGCCGAAACCCGGAAGTAATCCTTTCTGGTACTTCTGGGTTTCAGCGGTGGGCAACCCAAAAAAATGCAACCTGAAGCGTCTGTAACCCGAGGTATGACTGTAGTTAATTTTGACAGAGGACTGTGTAATCTCCTTTTCTTTCTTTTCTTCATCCCTTTTTTCTGTTTTCCTGTTTTAAATTGGCATGATTTCTTTGTATCTTTTGTGGAAAACCTTCAGTTAAAGTTAATTATTAGAAAAAAGAGAAACGCCTTTTCTCTATTCTCTTTCTATGCGCCATTGATATCGACTTCCCCATAGGCAGAGGTGAAGTTGCAGGGAGCGCCAGGCCCAAAGGATGCGCTAATAATTGCACGGAGGGGGTTGTAGAGGAAAGGCTGGTGAAACTCTCCCCGCAACCACACAACCCCCCCCCGCCATTATTTGAAACAAGTCGTCTACCATGAGAACAGGAGCTGAGGGTGAACTTCACACCTTTTTTAATTACCTAAGACAGATTAAGCTTCCTGACAGCATTGACAGGCTTGGGGATAGCCGCTCCGCCAATTCTGCAGAGCTGGTCGAGAGAACAAGGAGCGAGCCTATGATAAATTAATCCGGATAACACCACTGGGCCTCCTTGCAAGGGAAGCAGCCATCCCATTTCACCACCTCGCAGCTGCGAGAGGATGGAGAAGGGCTAATGAAACAGAGAAAGCTTGCACCGCCCTTGAGGTTTACCTATGGAATCAGCTCAGCAAGGTTTCCCCCTCTTATCACTTGCAGCTAACTTGGTGTCAGGACTCGGGGCCCCAGGGAGACCTCTTTGGAGGAAAGGCTTCTGCTGGTTGGTGGTTTGCTGAATTGATTTCTGCTCCAGATATGGGATGCTTATAAGTGGCAATTCCTGCTCCTGTTTCCCTTTTTAGTCAGTGTTCTCTCACAGCCCTAACCTCCTCAGCCAAATACCTTCCCACCTTCCCACCGCAGCGGTAACTATTTATCTACTTGCACTGGTGTGCTTTCGAACTGCTAGGTTGGCAGGAGCCGGGACAGAGAAACAGGAGCTCACCCCATTGCGGGGATTCAAATTGCCAACCATCTGATCGGCAAGCCCAAGAGGCTCAGTGGTTTAGACCACAGCGCCACCCACGTCCTTGCCACCATACCCTCTGACATGTCCCAGTGCCGTGTGTGTGTGACCTACCGTGAGATCATGGTGACTAAAAAGTGAGCATTTTGGGGAACTGTGATCTTGCACAAGAGCACGTCCCCCCCAATGGAATGTCCCAATTTGGGACAGTGCCACATGCCCCCTGGGTGGGTCATGCAGACCCCTTGGGGTCCGTGGACCACCAATTGGAAACTACTGTTCCAAATGTTTCTGGATGGTGTTTCAAGGTTATAAATATGCTTTTTTTCCATTTTATGTTAAATGTTTGGTTTTCACGTTTGGGAGTTTTACCGCCTGGGCTACTTTGGGTGGAAAGGCAGTCCAGGAATAGATGGGAAAAAAAACTTTGAGTGCCCTCCCCAACTGCCCAACTTCAAGGAGGCCAGGGTGCAAGAACCGTACCTGTTCGGCAGTACTCGTCCACTTCCTGGTGCACCATTTCTTTCACCCGGTTGCCGTACGTCAGCCTGGAGTCCTGGTCGTAAGCCTTCAGAGTCTCGCTGGAGCTGTACGACTTCTGAGGTATCTTGCTGTCCTCGCTCTCTGCGGACGAGCTGGTGTAGCGACGCTCCGCATCCCGGCGCCTGGTCAGAGAACGATACGGCTTCCTTTCTTTCACATCCATGGCCCTCTCGTCTCTGTCTTCAACATCAAAGAAACGGCGTCCGTGAGGCAATCAGATCGGAATGTTCTGGAAGGGAAAACCAACCATCTTTTACAGTGTGTTCTGTATAAGGACGCGGTAAGCTATTAAGTAGGACTACTGGTCCATTTTTTATAGTATATGCTCCCGATAAACAAATCAAGCGTGCTCCTATCTGCTAGCTTGTTATTTTGGAATTAATATTTCAAACCCTTTTTTTGGCAGGGCACACCACTAGACCTCATGAAAGTGGCATTTGGCTTGGTCATTTTCAAGTTTACGGTCAAAGCACCTGACTTTCGAGCACAGGAACGAATTCCCCCTCCAACGGCTGCTTCCACGAGGCCCGCTCTATAGGAAGATTTCCCTATGGCAAGAAAATCCATGTGTCATGCCAGCATCTACAAAGCCGGTCTCTGCAATTGCCATTAGTGACTGTGTAATAAGTGAAGCAGCAACAAAGGAAAGCATAAAAACCTACCAGGAAATGGAGAGCATTCCTACCAAATGAGTTATATGAAAAATTTTCCCTCATAAAAAACGTGTTGGAAAACCTAAAGTTTCTGATCTGGAACACGTCGCTTCATGGATTATATAGAATCCAATAATCTGTTGCCTCGCCATCCTCTCATTGGGTTCCAAAGCAACATTCCACATAAACGTCAGGAAAAGACGTTAACAAACCCAAATCTGGGACTAGACATTGCAGGCATTAAAAAATATCTGTGTCTAGTAGTTGGTCCCCACAATCGCCCCTGTGGCGATCACACAGGGTCCCCGGACGTTTAACGGTCTATTGATCCCTGTGCCACCACTGTGCTCGCTTCCCCGCTGCCACCAACCCGTTACTCTCTGGTAAAACACTGAGTCCAGACAGTTGTTAAAAGTGAACAAAAAACCCAACAAGTTTATTTTACAAACATTATCAAGTTTATAGTTTCTCAGATAATATTCCTGTCAGTATCTTAACTTTAGTTTCTTTACCAGCCTATACCTTCCTAATACCTTCTGACTGATTATCTCAACTGTTTGACTGACTCCTCTTAACAAATTCTCTCTCTCTCACACCAGACTAGCCCAACCCACAGACTTATCTTCCCTCTCACTCCAGACTGTCTTCTCAACCACTCTAACTCCTCCAAAAAACCCTCTGTGCTTAAACCTTATACACAGTTAACTCCTCCCCTTGGGTTCCCATTGGTTAGTCATTTTACAATTAGTTAACCCTTTCCCTATGGACCCAGTATGATGTCACACACCTAGGAGGGCAAAAGCCACAGCCCCATCCCAAATGTCTAAGGAAACTCGGTGTGTGGCATGATGTCATCAGCCCATGACTTCGTTTGCCTTATCAGCCCTGCAAAAAGTCAGGTGGCAACCTTTACACCTGATTTGGTCAGATCTAGATTGGTTTGCTTTCAGTGGTGGCTGGTGCCTATTAGCTCTGGTAAGGGAAGGCAGGGAGCAGTAGCGTAGGGGTGCCAGGAGAGCCGTTGCCCCAAGAGCATGGGGTGCAAACCTGGTGCCCCCACAGAGATCCTCGTTATGCCAGCCCTGCCTGGCTCCAGCAGTGAGAGTTGGGAATCATGGAAGATGCCCTCCGCCCTCCGTGTCCTGTCCCTGCACAGCGTGTGAGCACCCGCTCTGCGGTGTCGGTGGCGAGAGCTAGGTGAGCACACTCAGTGCCCGCCCCAGGTGCTGGCAAACGGCGCTACGCCCCTGGCAGGGAGTGTGACAGTAGTTGGCACCAGAAACAACGGTCAGCAGAGCCACCTGATTCTAGTTTTGTCCCCATCCTCTTCCTCCCTGCTGAGTTCTACAAGGGCAACTCTGAGACACGGGAGGGGGGTTCTGCAACATGCCTGGGCTGGTTGTCAGGAATTTGGCAGGAGATGAAGGTTGTTGGATGCAGTGCCCCCTTTGCCCTAACTTAGCAGCCTCCAGTGTTTCGTTTCATGCTGGTGACATGGGGCTGCCTGTGCAAAGTGTTCAGAAATGTCAGCATATGTTCTCTGCAAACAGGGACAAAAGTCAGGTTCATATTCGAGAAGTGTAGCTAGAATTCTGATGGGACCCACTTTCAGACCACATCACACCTATTTAATAAATAATAATGATGATGATGATGATGATGATAATAATAATAATAATAATAATAATAATAATAATAATAATTTATTCATACCCCACCCATCTGGCTGGCTTTCCCCAGCCACTCTGGGTGGCTCCCAACAGAACATTAAAAACACAATAAAACATCAAACATTAAAAACTTCCCTAAACAGGGCTGCCTTCAGATGTCTTCTGAAAGTCGGATAGTTGTTTATTTCCTTGACATCTGATGGGAGGGTTTTCCACAGGGCGGGCACCACCACCAAGAAAGCCCTCTGCCTGGTTCCCTGCAACCTCACCTCTTGCAGGGAGGGAACCGCCAGAAGGCCCTTGGAGCTGGACCTCAGTTTGTGGGCTGAACGATGGGGGTGGAGACGCTCCTTCAGGTATACTGAACATTTAGCATATTCCGCTTCCAGTTTGTTTCTGTGCCCAGTTCTTACATCGAAAGCCCTAAACCTGCAGCCCTCTAGATATTGTTGGGGCTCCCAAACAGCATGGCCAATGGTCAGGGATGATGGGAGCTGTAGTCCAGCAATATCTGGGGGTCACAGGCTCCTCATCTCTGGCTTAAACAGCTGGGAACCTATAAAGAAGTCATCCACATGTTGAATTTGCTCAGTGAGACTCTTCTCTGTGTCCCACCACCCTCCAAAGTACATTGGATGGGTGCTTGGGAGAGGGTCCACTTTTGCCAAGGGCACCTTCTTATGTTCTTATGCAAAAGGGGTGGAGGGGAAGAGCTGGACATTGGGATGTCACGAGCCAGCACGCTGAGAAGACACTTCCGTCAGCAGCTGAATAGGCAATATCCCCAGTAAGCTGGGCACTCTTCACAGAAACCCAAGGAATGCACAGTTGGCTTAGCAGATTTATTATAACACTGAGCCCCCTGTGAGCAAAATAGCTCTGCAGATATCCCTGGACAGGACTTTGGAAAATTGCAACATTTTTAAACACAGAAGGACCGAGTTAATGCTGTAGGAATGCTTCATAAATTCATGCACGGCTAGGGGAGGTGTTTTAGCCGTTGCAATGTAGGCAGTCAGAGAACTTATATCCCTGCTTGCTCTTTAAGGATTTCAGTTGGCAGCAGTGGAGAAGATCTTATTCAAGAGTTCTGAGAGCTACAGGCAGTCCGTGTGGACCATAGTGAGCTAATCTCAGTAGAAAGCAGTTTCGTTTGCAAGAGGAGAATGTAAGAATAGCCTGCAGGATCTAGACAATGGCCAATCTACGCCAGCATCCTGTTCTCTGCTCAATCCACCAGAGCCTGTCTTCACATGCAGGGTTTGAGACCCATCGGCTATCCTCACCTGGTTTAGCCAGCCTGGGATGTGGCTGCTGTTGCTTGCTGGCAGCTTCTAGGAGGGTATGATATATAGGATGTATATATAGGATATATAGGATAGCATAGTTAAAGCTATGGTTTTCCCAGTAGTGATGTATGGAAGTGAGAGCTGGACCATAAAGAAGGCTGACTGCCAAAGAACTGATGCTTTTGAATTATGGTGCTGGAGGAGACTCTTGAGAGTCCCATGGACGGCAAGAAGATCAACCTCTCCATTCTGAAGGAAATCAACCCTGAGTGCTCACTGGAAGGACAGATCCTGAAGCTGAGGCTCCAATACTTTGGCCACCTCATGAGGAGAGAAGACTTCCTGGAAAAGACCCTGATGCTGGGAAAGATGGGAGAAGGGGACAAGGAGAAGGGGACGACAGAGGACGAGATGGTTGGACAGTGTTCTCAAAGCTACTAAAATGAGTTTGACCAAACTGCGGGAGGCAGTGGAAGACAGGAGTGCCTGGGGTGCTCTGGTCCATGGGGTCACAAAGAGTTGGACACGACTAAACAACAACAACATATAGGGTGTGACATAAGCACACGCTGGTACTTTGTGAACTCTCCCTAGCCATTGGCTGAGTTAAACTATCAGCACAGAGAGCGTAGGGGACAACAGGTGCTGGGAACTCTTTCTGTGACCCATAGAGGGTCAATTGCTGATGTACAACCTCTGTGCATGGCCTTTCTTGGGCCAAAGACTGGGAAAAGAACCAGAAAGATCCAGGGAAGCCAAATTATTGATGCTTGTGGGTAGCTCTTTATTACCGCCTTTGACAGAATGCTCTCTACTAAAGATGTGAAGTTCTTAAGCATGTTATTTGCAGTCCTGTATTACATACATTGCAAACATTGCAAACATTTGCCCAAAAGAGCCCAAAGTGCTCACAGACTAAGGCTATGCCTTAGGCTACTTCTAGACAAATTGGCTATTTACTGAAGACCTAATCCTGGACTGCAAAGACCAATTTCCTTGATAACGTGTTGTTGTTCTTAAGCAAATCTTTCCTTCAACACCCGGTATAGTACAATGCATGAAAAAGAACGCCGCATAAGAAAATCTCTGATCTCTCGGCACAGAAAGAGACAAATACTGGTTTTTTTTTTAAAACTCAGCAGGGCTAAACTTCAAACCAAAGTTTATTACCGTGCAAGTTATACATATGAAGAGAAGCATGGGCCACAGATTGATTTTCGATTTTCTATGGGCCTTATTTTTAGACCTTCTCCTGGAGAGGGATAATCAGAGTGCACAGTAAGACAAGAGCAATTGATTAATGAGCATAGCCCCTGCTGTGTCCAAAGCTTAACTTTCAATTAGGCTGCCGGCGGCCACACTTTTGCCTTACATATATAATAGCTGCAGGGGCAGAGATGGGGAAAAATATACAGAGAAAAACAGGGTGAATTAGAGAGCCTAAGAATTTTCCTTTCTGCCCTGCACCTGCCACATGCAGCCCTGTTTCTGTTCCACTGCAATTCCGCCAAAACCAATGTTACTGGCTTTCGCTACCCCCGGTGGTGAAAT